ATTATTATATTTCTTGATTTATGTTTACTGCGCCATTTAACATTTTGCTAAATTTCTCAGTACCTAGTGATTGTAAAAAGACAATTAATAGCTCGTTGGAATCGCCTTATCAAGACGAATCGAATGGTGGTAAGCTCATCTCTCTGTGATTAATATTGACGGAGTTACTACTTAAAAACCATTTAATATTTTTTAATTTCAGAAAATGATCTAGTGATTGGATTTTGATCAATTCGATGTATTTTATACCATTAGATTCGTCGCATTAAGACGAATCGAATGGTAGTAAGATTGTCTCTCTAAGATCAATATTGGCAGAGTTATTACACAAAAACCATTAATATTTTTTAATTTCGGAAATTAATCTAGTGATTGGATTTCGATGTATTTTATACCATTAGAACCGTCTCATCAAGACGAATCGAATGGCAGTAAGATCATCTCTATAAGATTAATATTGGCAGAGTTACAATACAATAAAGTTTTGAGTATAATTTTGGCTAAAATTATGTTAATTTTTGGCCGGAATTATGATATACTAATATAAGAAATTTTTTATATAGTCACATCTCTTTATAATCACCAAATATGGACTGTTCCAAATGTGTAACTATAAAGAGAGTTGACTGTAATACAAGTGGGCGTAGAAGTGGAGTAGTATGTCCTAAGACATATTAATATATTAATATTACAACAGATACAGCCCTTCGCTAATATATTTCATACTAGAAAACCTAAAAAATACAAATAATCATATCTACTCTTTATAAATAATATAGTTTATTATATTACTCATTTAGCCAATTTTTTTCTGATACCAAAACTTCGTAGCTTCTTTATCCGCTCAATATCTATATATGAAGTCAAAATTAAAGCCAAAAAGTAGAAATATTTCGACTTGGGAGGTTAAAAGTCGAAATTAAAGTCAAAATGGTCGAAATTACATTATAGTCATGTAATTTGTATAATTATAATTTAATATAAAATTTTAAACATGAATAACTCCGTCAATATTGATGCTACAAATATAAAATATATATCATTGGAATCCTCTCGATGAGCTGAATCCAACCGTATAAAGATCATAAAAATCGAATCACTGGATGCGGAGTTCGTTAACTTTGAATTTTAATATTATTGTTTACTATAAAATCATATGACTATGATGTAATTTTGACCATTTTGACTTTTGGAGGGGCTCAAGTCAAAATCATTTTGACCATTTTGACCATTTTAGAGGTCAAAATTAACCAATTTCGGTTTCATGTATATCAATATCCTCTAAGAGGATTCATTTTAAAACTCGCTTCAAACCATTTTCAAAGTTCTCCACTTCCTTTTTAAGAACGCCCATCCATTCACCCTGCTCTACTCGTACAAATAACGCTGTGAAAATCCTAATGATGCTGAGAGGCTCTCTTGTTAAAAGGAATTCTTCCCTTCCATGTTTTACAGCTATTTTCTAAATTATTGACCCCTTTCCTGTTATTTTTAAAAAATTTTCAGATACAGTCAGACGCAATCAGACGCAGTCAGACATAGTAATTCGGGTTGACTTATAGTGCCGGCCAGAATTATGAGTCATATGGTTACACAAATTACAAAAAAAGGAAATTTTTGAATTTGCAAAAATCACAAAAAATATTTTTGTGAGACGGGTATCGCCCTAAAGGAAATAATATCGTGTTAAATTTCCTTTTTTGGTGATACCCGTTCTACAAAAAATATTTTTTGTGATTTTTGCAAATTCAAAAATTTCATTTTTTTGAATTTGTGTAACCATATGACTCATAATTCTGGCCGGCGCTATAATTCAGTCCGAATTACTGTGTCTGACTGCGTCTGACTGCATCTGATTGGGTCTGACTGTGTCTGAAAAATTTTCAAAATTTTTTAAAAATAACAGGGAGAGGTCAATAATTTAGAAAATAGCTGTAATAGAGTGAAAGTTAAATGTTAGTGAAAGCTCTGCTAAGCGAAATAAAAAAATAACGTAAAGGCATAATAATTTCACTATATTGCCCTTTTAAATGACTCCATTTACTTCCCTCTAGGCTTGCAATCATGTTGGGAAAGGGACAGGAGAATATGTAACAAACTCTTACACCAAAAGTTTGTGTTCGAGCATAAGAATATGCGAAATGTGCATTAAAGATCTTGACATTTACAAAGGCATTAGGAGCAATGCATATACGAATTTTTTTTTACCTAACCACTCAAAGACCCGGCAATGTTATATAGATATTATTCCACTCAAAATAATAAAAATATCCCGTCCCTCTAGAGTAAATATACATATCATAAAATGCTATGCTGCTAAATATTATTCTGCTAAATATTGCGAGGAAAAAATTCGAAATATTTTTGGAGGATTGGTTTATGTGTGAAATTATTTCATCACACAAGCATAGTTTCACAGATGATTTACGGAGTATCACCTATTACATCATATATACTGTAACGAGGATCAAAAATGTGCTAATTTATGTTGCACATGTCTACATGCATTGTGATTGGACAATATTAAGATAAGTTGCAAAAAAATTATTATAATAAATATGAATATGTAACATACTATTTTAATAAAGAATCTATAGTCAGGAAAATTCGTTGCACATACTTACAATTATTATTTAAATCTGAGAAATCTATAGTAGTATACTTTCCATTGATACTAATATTTCCAGTTTTATAATAGTCAATATCTAGTAAATTATATTGAACTTCTAACAAAGTTCTCATTGCCATTGTTTAGGTATTTGTCAATACGGTAATATTCAAGATTTGATAGCCACTTTAACATATAAGACTATCCTGAATATTTAACGATTCTATAGCCTTGTAGATGTAATTCTATAAAAGCAACTATGTATGCTACATTATTTAATCGTTCTCATAATTTCTTCAGATGATCATTGCCACATTTGATGGTATTTTCACAAATAATTACTAAGGAGTCACATACAGTGCAATAAATATTAAATGAGTGTCTTCCAGCTTTAAATTCCCCATCTTTATAAGATCTTTCAATCATCTGGATAAATCCATTCTTGGAAAAGTATTTTGGGTTATATTCAAGAAGTTTCTTAAATGGATAACGAACACAAGAACACCACATTTCTGGTGTTTCACCACTATACCTATATTGCAGATTGTTTAACACCTGCACTACTACAGGATTTAAACCAGAATAGTTAGTTTTAACCATTTTACGGATATAGGAACTTTATAGCTATTTATAGTTGTTTTAGCGATTTTAAAGACTTATAGCAATTTATAGCAAGTATATTATAATAAATATCAGATTCATTTTTATTCAATTACAAGCACACATATAGGGGTCATCTCTCGGCTATGCTAATTTTTTACATGCATATAATTCGGTTTGTGGCATGGTATCACAGGCATCACCCTATCTCCTAGTCAACTCACTCAAATCACGAAATGAGTTACAGACCACCAATCGGGTTCCTAAGTCGTTTTCTTGCTAACCTTTTATCATATACACGTATTTATGAAATATGGATTTGCCACTATAATAAATTACATTTTTCGATTCGTATACATAAAAATCACGTGCGCGTGAACAATTGTTCACGCCAATCACTTTTGCAAAGAAAAAATTTCGATCAAAATACATGGGTTAAACGTACACATTCGATGTTCGTACTGTTCGTACAATAAACATGATTATAATGTATAAAAAAATTGGCATATAGACGATGCACACGCAAAAAGTAAACAACAAAAATAATTAAGATAATTGATATTTCGCATTGTAACATTTTTGTTTAATATGAAAGCGTGTATCAATATTAATGAATATAACTATTTAATTGTCCATATTTTAAGCCAACATATGAATTTTTATGCACCACCTAATTAAGCCCTGACTATCGGTACCCGTATTTTCTTAGGTGAAGAATTTGACTTTCGATAATATGGGTGAGGGGATTTGATGATTGAGTTGATGATGGGAATAAATTTATAGTACAAATAGTAGATTTTACCCTTTCCTACGTAAATAAAAACAATGAGATTACATTGCAAAGCGACTTTTTTGAAGATCATGAAGTAGGGTTCTTACCAATAACGAATATAGAGTAGATACTACGGTAATTATGTTTAAAAAATTCGCGTTTTCCGTTGGGAACAATACTTTCGATAATAGATTAAAACGGTATAGACCTTCATATGCCAAATCAATGCTAAAGATTTTAATTTCGCTTCCTATTATTGGTTTTATATCTGATTAGCTTGGCAATCAAGCATCAGCAAAGTTATAATAGTGGTACTTACCACAAATTAATATACCGTACGTTTCTAGACCAGCCACATAACCGTAAATGTTAATAATAAGGTCTAGAGACCCTTTCATGAATTCTGCTAGTTTAATTATACTTTTATTTACGGTGTTAAGGCAATGTGGTGGCTTTATCTCACCAAACATGAGTTCCCTGTCGGTGTCATCAATTTTTGTTAGGATCCGGAAATCTGGTTTTCTACCATGGTTATGACCGTCCAATAAGCGTCTCTCCTTGGAACTTTCGGATTCACCATTGGCCCTTTGTTTCAATAAAGAAAATGTAAGTATATATTAAGTATACTATAATAATTATATGAAACTTACCAAACCAATGAGAATTCGGCTTTGTTGAATATTTCTTCGAGAATTTGGTGACAATATCGATGGACGAAAGTGTCTTCATCCAATTTTTTACTCTCATTATAACTCACGGAAGATAAGTAGATAAAACTGCAAGGCAGAAAATGAGAATTAATAATACCATTAACAAATATTTTTATTAAATTTAGAACTTACAAATTTCTCGAAACAATCTGGACACAATCAAAGATGTCTTTGTCTTCGTCCGTTAATAATGAATTCCCTTTTGACCAGTTGTTGCGCCATTTTGTATTGAGTAATTGTTGTCACTCAAAAGCTAAAAAAAAAATAAAAATAAAAATAAACAAACTGATGTGTTTGCTGATAGCTTATAATAATATCAACGAAGGTACTTACCCTGCTGTATTCGATTATTACAAGATCAGCAACTGTTGGCAACTCCTTCGGAGTTAGTGATCTTGGACGAACTTCGCTCCATGTCTTTTCGGAACATTCAAGGTATTCTGGTTTGAATTCATTGCAGTACATAATTGACGATAGGCACCTGTAAATAGTATATACAAAGTTAAATATTGTAATCAAAATTCCGTAGTCTTGCATAGAAAAATACTTACAATATCAAACTAATTTCTTTCGCATATGATAAAGTCGGATTAGTTTTCAATTTTTCAATCGACTTTAACTGAAAATTACGAAAATCGGTAGAGATGTTGTGTCCATTTTGTGTTACCCACTATACAAAAAGAGAACAGGATCAGAATATATCAGGATAAAAATACCACAAAACGATATTTCTCAATGCTTACGTCATTTTCAGAGAAATTATTTATGACAACTTTATCAATCGCGTGACTCCATGACAAGACAATCTTGAGTAATATGAACCAAATTAATCAATGCCAAAGTTGTGGCAATATTTTTGAAAGATTATGTTATCATCGATTAACACTAACCTTGTATTTCGTTGAATCTTCCACTGTCTGTGCTATAAAAGGATTATTGTCGCCCTCAAGTGTAATCACTCCATCAGATTCATAGCGGTCATTTGACTTTAAAGAGAAAACAGATTAGGAACGGGCTTATGCACATCATACGACAAACAAACCGAAAAAAAAATTACTGGAGAGGCCTCAGTTGATGCATCTGCAACGTCAGCTGATTCTTCGTCATAAGATAGAGGGGGAGTGTGAGTGTGACTGCGAAGGTTGGGAGGAGAAGTGATGGTTGGAGAAGCTTCTTCGGCTGTCGTTTTCTTTCGTTCTTGAAATTCACATTCATTCGTGAGTGACGTTCAATTTATAGATGCAAGACAAAGGTTTAGAAAAACATAAATAACATCTTACTCTTTCCGCTGACGTTATAGGTATGGATGCAGATTCCAGGTTTGTAATTGCGCCATCACTCAGAGCGTCTGCATAGCGTTGGACATGCTTTACAGCTTGAATAACACCACCAGTCTATATCATTGCAAACACAATTGTAGTCAGATGGTTCCGTATCTGCAGTTAACATTGAAAAGTCACCCTATGAAGCTCCAAATTTGTCTTTTCCTGCTCCATCCGAAGAATATCTCTTTCGTTTTTGGTAGCAAGCCAGAGGTTGTCAATTTCCTTGCGTCGGTCCTGAGAAAACAAACAAATTTTGTTTACTAGATCCACCAAACAAAGTTTTCTCTGTCTTACCAATAGTGTGCTACAGAAAGCCACGACGAGCTAACAGCCATCAAAGGGATAGCTAACAGCTACCCTCCTAGTCGTGGATACCTATCAGGCATTTAGAGCTCTACTCCCTAACAGAAGCTAGCAGACCACAACGAGCTACTCCCTAACAGAAGCTAGCAGACCACAACGAGCTAACAGCCCATTGGAAGAACAGCTAACAGCCACTCCTCCTGTTGTAGATGAAGTTGTAACGAAACAGCTTTCTTTTCATATAGAGACTCTTATCTTGCTATAGCACTATAGCAACACCCAAAAACATAATAATAAAGACACTCGCCTTAATAGTAGCCAAGAGACTGTTGGCTTTCCTAACTTTATTGACGTCAGAGCTCGTATTAGAAATCTCCGTATATTTTTATATTATTTTATTTCGGTTTTTTGGTCAAATTTTATTGGCTAAAATTTTTGGGACATGAAAATTTCTGTGCAACGTAAGTAAATAAAAACCACACGTAAAATTTTCTTAAATGTCTCGAGATATTGGCGACATCAACAGAGAATCTCTGGAAGCATATAAAGAATATGAAGCATGCTTAACTACTACCATGTATGGCGATACATATTTGGACCCTGAAAAATGTAAAGCCAGGGGTTTTGATCCAATCAAGTAAGAGGTTTATCAACTTTGTTTCTTTGATCACTTTTCTGATGTGTCTCTTTCTACAGAGCATTTGAAGAAGAAGAAGAAAGAATCGATTTGTCTTTGGAATGGATTGAAAGAACAACAAAAGAAAAAGGATTTCGCGCTCAATTCCAGGAATGGCTTGACAAAGCGTAGGCTGGCGTCTTGTTGCCGTTAATTACAAAACGAAATAATAGAAACTAATACCACCTCCTTTCATAGTCCGCAAGAATTTGTAAATAAAGATCCGAAATCTCTAGTTTACTTTGACGACTTGGATGGCTCTCCAAAGAAAGGAAATAAGAGTAAAAAGCTATCCAAAAAGGTATTTATTTTAATTTGCTTATCACGTGTTTGATATTGTTGTTGACTCTTTCTTTAAAAATTCAGAAAATTCGTTCTTTACTGAGCAAAGCTTCACACTTTGTGGACCGTAAAGTCAAACTTGATGATGGATTCTGTGTTAAGATTGTTAAGGTCATTAGTGCGAAGATGGACAAAGACGGTGTTTTTTTAGAGGTGGAAGAAAAAGTGGGAGATGAATTAGAATATTACGAAATTATGTATCAGCAAGATATGATTAGATTATAATTTACTTATTCTTTGATTGACGTAAACAACCTCATTTACCCAAATTATGTATCTTTGGTCATAATAATATTCGTTTAACGCAATAAAGTAAATCGGCAACTTTATCAATTGATGCTGGGACTCGCATTAAATGGCCTAGGATCCGCGTATTCCCTCCCTCTTTGGTAGCATCATATATTTCATTCGCAACTCTAGCATTCTGATTTATGTATCTGAAAAATCAATACAATTGCATCGAAAATTTTTTCTGAAAATGCTTAATTATAGAATTTCTAGATCGAGTTATGGCACGTTCTCATAATTTTGCATTTTTTTTTATATGCAGTATTGTAAAGCATGCGTAAAATAAGTTATTTCTTTGCTCTCTTACATTTTCGGAAAATATCTACAGATAATTTATTTCTATCATTATTGCTAACTACGAGATTCTCACCCATAATCTTTCTCTACACTAGAATTCCGAAATAAATTAATCTATATCACTCCCACCCACACAGACTATGTAAGATTATTTCCCGCAAGAGAATTTCCTCGAGATGAAATGATTTTGAATCTATAGGAAGAATTCTTAAGATTAGCAATGAGTTAAAAAAATAAAACAAGAAGAGGGCTTATAATTCACACTTACCGTTATAATTCATTTTTATAATATTCCACATCGCCTCATAATCAATAAATTTTGTTGCTTAAATGCATTGTAATAAAGATATTTCGATTTTTTTTATCGTCAGTTCGATTTTATTCGATATGCGCACTGTATCAGGTGATAAAAAATATATATGTATCTGATTAGTCACGTGACAACGATCACGGCGAATATCAAATATGCAGAAAGAATCAAGAAAGGTAATATGTCCGCTTTATCTTTGAGCATCTATAGAGCCAGAAAAAAAATGATTAGCATCGTGATGACGATTTTCTAGAATCAAGCCAAGAAATCGAACAAACCGACTTTGTTATTACTTTGCGGAATATCTAATTTGATTGATTGTTGATATTGTTGATGTTAATAGTGGTATAAAAAGGTGGGCTACGTATAATTATAGGTTTTTTATTTGTCGGCATCCTGAACCATTAAGTGTAGCATATTTTCTTGCCGCATTAATAGTTGTAGGTGAAACCTAAATTAATATCATCAAATTTATTTAGAATATTTCACGAAGATATACAAGAATATAGTTCATATTATATTTACTCCAAGTCTATTTTATAATTCCTGATAAGAAAATTGATGTGCAATAATGGATAAAATTCGTCGTATCTCATCAAGACCCTTTGGATTTTGTGTTAAACTTTTCACAAAACAATCCCAAAATATTTGTGACAGATTTTAAACACTTGATGGATATGAATTTAAAAAGCCTAGTTGAAAGAAATTCTTCAAAGCATTTTATCATCCATAGGATCTAAAGATCGTGAACAAAATTTATGCTGTTTTTTATATGAATTGTGATAATTCCTAATGTAAAATGAGATAAATCAGTTATAAAATACAATTACCAGAGATATTTCACTATTAAAAGGTATTATATCTGTACAACCGGCAGCTTTAAGCATAGAGCTCCAAGCTTGCATTTCACGATCACTAAATTGGTAATTTTTTGGATATAAATTTATAAGGATTGTATTTATTTCAATAATATTTCCCACTGTTTAAATAATTGTAACCAATTTATTCCAACAATAGTTTGTCTTTTGAGGTAATATTCATATAAACTATTCATTAGTTCTTTATTACTCCATTGAAATGGTTGACACTTTGAAATATATAATTGTCATAATGCAGATCGTGTATATGCACGCTTAAGTCCAAATAATTGTATACCTTGGAATTTTTCCAAAATTCCAATTTTTTGCCAAATTTCTCAGGTGAAGTGGTGAACTACCTTTATAATGTGAAATTTTAGTGCTATTATTTATTCATACTTCTACTATGGACTTGTTTTTTATAAATTTTTGAACAAAAATACAACATTCTTTTCTAAAAATATGAATAAAAGAAGCCATATATCCTTATCCAGCATCCAACCAACTTTCTTTTTTAGAAGCACCTAAACTGAAAACCATAATAGTCAATTTATCTGCTATACTAATAGAATAATATATAAGGGCGAAATTCTATATCTTGTAATAATTTAGTAAATATTGAATCCTTATCAAAACCCATAACCACTGAACCTGAAATTTTTGTTTGAGTTTTGAAAATTTGTCTATATAAAGAAGTAATTGCATTAGTTGGATTATCTTCAATTTCACTAAAATCAGAATTATATTGACAAGTATAACCAGGTTAATTCAAATCAAACTTGTTTTCTTCTAAAATAAGCATAATAAATTTTTTTCTATTTATTTCTACTTGTGTTCTTATACCAATCTGAATAGGATACATTATTTCCTTTTTTTGGCAATAGCCATTCCACAAAATCGATTTTTATAGAAACCACTTTGGCATTTTGTGTAACATTAATTTCCTTTTTAGGAAAATTCATAATTCCTGCCAGAGTTAAGTGCATAATTCTGGCTGAATTACATATTTACAAATTATAGCTTTAGAATTTATAACATATTTATTCAGATTCAAATCAGATTTAAATCAGATCAGATCAGATTCAGATCAGATCAGATTTGAATCTGATTAAATCTGATCTGATTCAGATTAAATTTTAAACCGATCTGATTTAGATCAGATCAGATCAGATTTAATTAATTTCAGATCAGATTGAATCTAAGTAAAATTTGATTTGATTTGATCTGATCTGTTAGAAGCACTATTTCCATCATTCTAACGTTTGGAACCTACAAAAAAATAATAAAGAAACGTTAGTTAACGTTTCCTAAAATATTAAAAAAAATTGGTTAAAAGTTTTAAAGCATATGCTTCAAAACTTACCATTTCAAGTTTCAAAGAAGCATACTGAAAGACCTACACAAAAAAAAATAAAGGATTGTTAAAAACGTTCCTTATAAAAAGCAAAAAAAATTATTTTAAAGTTTCGAAGTAAAATGCTTCGAAACTTACCATCATTTCGTTTCCCGTTTTTCAAAGTCAAAATGCTGAAATTCTATAAAAAAAAGAAAGGAAACGTCAGTATATTTCCTAAAAAAAATTAGAAAAAAAGTTTTAAGGCGAATGTCTCAAAACTTACCATTTCGTTTCCTAAGTCAAGTACGCCAAAAAGACCTATAAAAAAAAGAAATTAATGAAAACATTAGTAATATTTTTTAAAAAAAGAAAAAATATTTTTTTAAAAGAGTTTTGAAGCGAACATCTCAAAACTTACCGATTTGAATATTCTGAATCGTATGAAACAAGTTGAAAGACCTACAAAAAAAAAGAAAATACAGGAAATGTTAGAAAAGTTTTCTAAAAAACAAAAAAAAAAGTTTTGAAAAACTTCGAAACTAACCATTTCCAAATTCCGAAGTTGAAAGTCCTAAAAAAGAAAGGAAACGTTAGAAACATTTTCTTATATATAACAAAAAATTAAAAAAAAAAATTAAAAAAGTTTCAAAGCGCTTCACTTCGAAACTTACCATTGTTTTTCTGAAAGGCAGGACCTTCAACGTTATAAGTAAATATGAGAAATATACATATTGCCGATTCAGATAAAAATTATTCCATCTCATATTTAACAATATATATCCATTATAGAACATTCACAGTTGGAATGTTTTGTAAATGACTGATATAGTTGTTGAGCAAAATAAGCAAAATATTTTGCTGTTCAAGAGGAAAGGAGTGGGAAGAAAAAAAGGGAAGGTGAAAGGGCAGAGGAAGAGGAAAGGGAAGGCGAGAATAAAAGAGAAAGAGGAAAATGAAATGGAAGGGGAAAATGAACGAGAAAGGGAAAATGAAATGGGAAGGGGAGAACGAAAGAGAAAGAGGAAAATGAAATAAAAAGGGGAAAACGAAATGGGAAGAAGAGAACAAAAGAGAAAAAGGGAAGAACAAAAGAGAAAGGGAAAAATGAAAGAAAAAGGGGGGAAATAAACGAAATGGGAAGGGGAGAATGAAAGGGAACAAAATGGGAGGGAGAACGAAAGGGAAAGGGATAGAATTCCGAATGGGTCAGGTCAGGTTAGGTTATATCAGGTTGTCTGTTTGATCTGACCTGACCTGAAACCTGAAAAATTTCAGGACTATTTTTATTAAAGTATTGAAAAAAAACGGTACAAAACTTTTTTTTTTAATATAATATTATGAAAAAAAACGTTTTTGCAACATTATTTATTAAAATATTGAAAAAAAATATTGCAAAACGTTTTTTTTAATATAACATTATGAAAAAAATGTTTTCACAACATTATTATTGAAATATCAAAAAAAAAAACATTACAAAACATTTTTTAATATAATATTATGAAAAAAACGTTTTCACAACGTTTTTTCTTGAATATTGCGATTCAACATTTTTATATTAAAATCATATAAAAAAGTGAATCCCAATACTGCAACTCACTTTTATTATATAAAATCAATATAAAAAAGTGAATCGCAATATTTCAACTCACTTTTATTATATAAAATTAATATAAAAAAGTGAATCGCAATATCGCAACTCACTTTTATTATATAAAATCAATATAAAAAAGTGAATCACAATACCGCAACTCACTTTTTTTATATAGAATCTATATAAAAAAGTGAATCACAATACCGCAACTCACTTTTTTTATATAGAATCTATATAAAAAAGTGAATCGCAATACCGCAGCTCACTTTTTTTATATAGAATCTATATAAAAAAGTGAATCGCAATACCGCAACTCACTTTTTTTATATAGAATCTATATAAAAAAGTGAATCCCAATACTGCAACTCACTTTTATTATATAAAATCAATATAAAAAAGTGAATCGCAATACTGCAACTCACTTTTATTATATAGTAGAATCAATAGTTTCAGGTCAACAGGTCAATCAGGTCAGGTCAATCTTCATACCTGACCTGAATTTTTTTTCAAAAATCTCATACCTGACCTGAATTTCAGGTCAGGTCAGGTCAGGTTACCTGAATTTGGCTGACCTGTTCGGAGCTCTAGTCTTCAGTAGTAAGGTTTAGTATTAAATTAAACAACATATCATAACACATCGTGTTGATACATTGTTAATATTAACAATGGGTTTAATGTTAAATAATGCGTTTAGAATATAAATATTATAAATTTAATAATGTCTGTAATTTACAAATAAATAAAAATTATCTTAACAATTTTAATGTAATTAAGTATAATGCTACATTATCCTGTGTAATTGTAGTATTTTTTAGTGCAATGTTGCATAATTTAGTATAGTGCTACATTTTTTAGTGTAATTTAATAATATAATGTGAAATTTTCCAAGAAATGGGATAATTGTGATGCTTTTTAGTGTAATTTGGTAAAATGCCACATTTTTCAGTGTAATGCTATATTATCAAGCATTTTCCAAAAAAAATGTAACATCTTAACATTCTGATGAATATGAAACATTTGACCAAAAAAACGTGAAATTTGCTAAAAAAATGCAATATTTGACAAAAAATATAGAATTTTCATAAAAAATGCACCATTTACCAGAAAATCGAAATATTGACAAAATTTGATTTTAATTGACAATGTTATAATAATTTTATGAAATGTTGTTACAATGACGTCACATTGGAGATAAAATGTGGCATTTTCATAAAAATGCACCATTTGCAAGAAAATTGGAACATTTGACAAAAAAAAAGTAAAATTTAATTTTAATTGACAATGTTATAACAATTTTATGAAATGTTATTACATTTGAGGTAAAATGTAGAATTTTCATAAAATGCACCATTTGCAAGAAAATTGGAACATTTGACAAAAAAAAAGCAAAATTTGATTTTAATGACAATGTTATATATAACAATGTTACAAAATGTTATGAAATGTTGCATTTGAGATATAATGTAGCATTTTTCCAAATTTTCATAAAATTTGCTAAATCAGACAATGTTGTAACAATGCTATTCCAAAAAATTGCTCAGTGTAATGCAGAATTTTCCACAATTTCCTACCATTTTCCAGGAAAATGAGAAATTTGCATTTTTTGAATTTTGGACAATGGTGCCCCTTCGACCTGTGATATTTAATATTAATTGAAAGAAATTTCTAAAAATATTATTGAAAAAATGGTAAATTAGAATAAATTCTATTTTTTCATTATTTTTTCACATTAGTATTTGGTTTTATAAATAATATAGAAGTCATGATAAAATACTGTATTTTGCGGTATATAAGCACCCCATTTTTGCACTTGATGCCGGCCAAGATCCTCATAATTTTGGCCAAAATCGCCATAATTCTGGCCAGGGATGCTTACTTTCGGGGGTGCTTACTTACCGCAAAATACGGTAATTAATAACTTAACAGTTAATGTTTGAAATTTTATTTGCGTATTTTTTGCAATATCAGGTGCGTACTACTCATATCTGCGTAGTAATCGCCACCTGACCCTTATATATATATTTCTGGGGCACAGACACATGATGGACGATCCAATTTAAATCCATTAAAATTTGTCGGAACGCGAGTTACTATTATCCAAAGTTCATATGTAGGATTACGCGATTACATATCTCACATATTACACAATAGATCACGGACGATGTAGGGACGTCTACAATTGTAATTTTATTTATACGGTTATTCTAAATGCTACAATTTCTTTAATTATATAAATGTAGCTTTGGTAAAAACAATTAGAAGATAAAGAATCGAAAATAAATCAGCTGCCAGTTTTCAAGAAAAGAAAATGAGAAGAAAGAATTAACTCCCAAAAAGAAGGAAAAGAAGAATGGAAGACTCCTTCGCCAAATCAGGTGATATCGTAATTGACAAATATCAGAAAAATCTTCTCAACGAAGCGGTAAAGGTTATTAAAGAAGGTGAAGTTATTGCGTTACCAAGTAAGGCAGACGTTGATGCAAGCAACAATTGTAACGCCACCATGGGAAAATGGAAAAAGAAAACTAAGAAACGATACATATATTGGTCACTCAGATAAGGTGAAAACAAAATTACTTCCCCATAAACGAATGCGTGAAGAATTATAATGATTCAAGCATATATTTCAAGATGGCATTAAAATTGAATGAACAGCCGAGGGGAAAATAAAACTTAACAGATTTGTTATGAGAGAAAAATTTTGGGATAATACCCTCCAGGTATTACTTGTCGTTTTTTTTATTGCGTGATCTCTGACAAAATGGTGGACGAACATTCGCCAATTGCTTTTGGACTCTGTTAGCTTCGCTAGTATTATATCAATTATTGTGTTTAACTTGAAATATATTTGTGTACACATTAATCTATGATACAAGAATGCATAGCTAATACTCTTTTTCCAACAAATTGTTATGCAACGTTAGATATGTCCATCACCAAGACAAAGAAGCGCACCATCACCTTGACATGCGTTGAACGGTTGTTCTTAAACAGTTAACATATTAAGTATTACATAGGTAAGATTCTTACTGTTTTAAATCAATATAATCATCTTTTAAAAACGCAATCATGTGCGTTAGTGCATGGATATTTGCATTATGATTAACAATTGATATTAAAACATAATATCCTCATGGCAATTATCTAAATTTTAAAAAGCATGTTCTTGAAATTTCTTCAAGAATGGTTCGAATATTTGACTAATACAAACGTACTTGATTTCAGCACATGACGAATTGAAAGTTGGAAAAATCGTGTTTCTGAAAAAAAAAGAGAATGCATACTGTAAGTTCATGATCAATGATTGACTAATAACTCACAAATCAATCTATGCAGAATAAGAAATATTTCTAAGAAAGTTAGAAGAAAATAATTAAATGTAACACCTGCACTGGTGATTACTCGCATCAATAACATAATACTGATATATTGTACAAGGCAAATAAGAAAAAATGTGTTTAAAAGGTATGGTATAATGAACATGAATTACATGATTATATACTTTTTGTTAATTAAAAATTTATTACACTTTTTTTGTAGTATTCTCCAGTTCGTAATTTTTCAAAACCAGTGCTTAGAATTCTATATCATGATTTAACTGGCGATGCTTTCATTGGCAAATAATCAAATAAGTAAATTATAGAAGAAAGATTACGTCTTATGACGTTACTAGAAGACTCTTCTATAATAATTGACTTGAGAACTAATGATGGATTTCAAGAGATATATACTGGGACGAGCTTGATAAGTATTTTAATAAGGTATTATGTGATATTAAGGTTTTTTCCAAATTATCTACTAATCACAAAACCCCTTATAATAAAAAAAGGGTTTAACGTGTGAGCTATTTGAATTTATTAGAGGCCACGATTTCATATCCTCACGAAATCAGAAATTAATTCCTTTGAATTATACGTCTCGTAAACAAAATCCAGATATTCCGACCCTTCTGTACTTCATTTAGCTATGTGTCAAGTCTGAAAAAACTGGTCAGAAAGAAAAACTATGAGTATTATAGTGAGGAATTCGAAAAAATGGCTATTAGTTTAGAGAATAATAGCGATCAAACGGCAAGAACACAGATTTACCAAGCTCATATCTCCTGGTATTATTAAGAGAGAGTATTTGTGCAAGATGACAAAAGCTTAAGGAATAGGAAGAGATAAATGATCGGTGTTCACTCGCATGTGATCTACCAGCAACGAGAATGTATTATCTGCAGCTCAGGCACCTATGAAATCTCCGAAGGCATCTAAAGCTCTTCCAAGACTTTCTCGTCTTTGTAAGAAACTACTAAAAGGGAAATATGAACGTGAAGAGGTCATTTACTCGTTTTTAAATTGATTCAAAGTTTGGCCCATCTTTAAAACACCCACGCTTAGAATTTAACTTCAACATAGTGACCACCAAATAGATTGCTATGAGATCTTTGATCTGGAACCTGCTCCATATGCAAAAAAAGCATTGGAATTTATGGTGGATTAATGGTCATGGAAACAAAAATATTGTGTTTTGCGATGAAATCAGAGAGCTCGAATCCCACTTGATGAGGTGTTAAAGGATTTCTGGAATAAATGAAAAATATAAAAAAAAATAAATTCAAATGATTTTTATTTCTATTTGGCCATACATGTGGTCACGGCTGTATTACTCATGGCTATATTTAACGTAAATAATAACTCCGATATAAATTGGTGTAGTACAAAATTTACTGCGTAATAAGTATGTAACCATAAATAACGAATTTAATTATTTCAATTACTCCCATAACTCCGAAAATACCATTTAATAAATCGATCGGAAAAGTCGGGAATTACTTTTTTTAAAAAATTTCAACACGGTTAAGTCCGATTAAGAAATTAATTTAACCTTATAATGCTTTATGACCCAAATTAAGTCCAGATCTTCCTATGCATTGTGATATCATCTTAAAATATATAAACCATCACCGAATTTTTTAAGATCTATCTCATCCTTTACCATGAGTGAATTAAACGTTTTTTTGCGTATTAATATTATTGAAGCCAAAAATTTGGCTGCAAAGGATAGAAATGGATTTTCCGACCCTGTAAGTAACATTTGTAATCTTTTTTTCTAAGCATTGAATATTTAATGCGATATGTACTAATTTATTTATTATTAAATTTTTACTCTCAATTTAATTGAAAAATTTAATTTTAGTTCGTTGCTATCAGCATTAGTGACTCTACCTATCAAACCCATGTTGTTAATAAAAATTTAAATCCAAAATGGGACGCAATTTTTGATCATAAAATTGATCTAACTAAACCGCCTAATGAAATTCACCTGACATGTTGGGATAAAGATACGTTTGGTAAAGATTATTTAGGTGAAATTTATATCTCATTGGATAAATTATGGGAAAGTAATGGTCATATTGCCTATGATGATGAACTTAATTTGGTAATTCTAACTTTTTGTAATTAGTTTTTTGTTAATTCAATTTAAGATTTATACATCTTTTTGATTAAATCTATTATTGTTGTTACTTTAATTCAAGCCACAATGGCATTTATTAACTACTAACCGCAAAAATGAGGATGTTTCTGGTCAAGTTTTGGTTAAAGTTGGTCTTAGAGATAAAGACAATAAATCCTTAGACGCACGAGAATGGAATTCTATCTGGCGAAAGATGAACAGTTTAAGTATCAATGAGGTACAAAGCTCTTCTACCGAGGGTACTTCGTCTGTATCATCAACAAAATCTACTATAAGACATGAAAGAAGTCAAAGTTTATCCAGTTTATCAGATATAGTTGGGGTAATTTTCCTTGAAATTGTATGTGCTGTTGATTTACCACCAGAAAGGAATGGTATGAGTTCATTAAATAAGTGTCTTTTTCATATATTTTATCGCTTATCGCTTTTTTAATAATTGCTTAAATTATCCATTTTTGAAATAGTTACTGGATTAGGTTTTGATATGGATCCATTTGTTGTTGTCTCTTTTGCTAAGAATACATTTCGAACCAAAGTTATTAATCATAGTTTGAATCCTCAATGGAATGAAAAACTTCATTTTCCTATTAAAAAACAAGAAATTAATTTTCAGATCAAATTCTCTGTTTATGATTGGGACAAATTTAGTCAAAATGATCATATTGCATCTCTGCTTTATGACGTTAAACCCTTAATTGATCGTGGGATAGATGTCATGAATAAGTCTCAAGACTATGAAAATATGAATGAGGGATTGTTAGAAGAAGTTCTTCCTCTTAAAGTTCACAGTAAATTGGCAAGCAAACATGACTCTAAGCTTGTTATCAAGACTAAATTTATGCCTTATGATTATCTTAGAAGACAATTTTGGTATGTGTTGTCCAAATTTTATGATTCGGATGGAAATCGTTTATTAAATTACGTAGAGCTTGAAACTATGTTACAAAGTTTGGGTTCAACTTTATCACAAGAAACAATTGACAGCTTTTTCACTCGTTTTGGCAAGGAACCTAAAAGACATGCATTGCAATTTGAAGAAGTTATTTCATGTTTAGAACAATATTTGGGAGATGCTTCATTTTCTCATCATTCTGCAAATCCAGATGGTGAGGAAGCGGACAATGAACATTTAATTTATCTCCAAAGTTGTCCAATTTGTAACAGACCAAATCTCGATCAGTTGTCTGAAACTAATATAATCACCCATGTCGCAATGTGTGCAAGTTCTGATTGGGGTAATATTGATAAATTTGTTACTGGTGATTTTGTCACTGAATCTCAAGCACAAAGAAAATGGGTTTCCAAAATTATCACTAAAGTTGGATTTGGTGGTTATAAAATCGGTGGTGTAAGTATTCTTTATTAATATTAAAGCATATATTCTTTTTATTTTTCAATTTTTTTTTTCATTGATTTCATGTTTTTTTATAATATTAGAATAATGCCAATATTATTGTTCAAGATCGTAAGTCAGGGCAACTTGTTGAAGAGAAAATGGCCGCCTATGTCCGTTTGGGAATTCGTTTACTGTATAGAGGTGGCTTAAGCAAAATGGATTCTACAAGTGGTAAATCATTTTTTTTTAGTTTAAATTACTTCTTTTTATGAGATTTTAGATTTAATTGATATTATTTATTTATTTATTTTTATAAAGCAAAAAAACTCTTGGAATCCATGTCTATTAAACAGGGCAAAAAGTTTAATCATCCTTCCTCAGTAGCGGATATTAAACCATTTGTTAAGTTCCACAATCTTGATTTAGACGAGGTTGCAGATTCATTAGATTCATTTAAGAATTTTAATGAATTCTTTTACCGAAAATTAAAACCTGAAGCAAGACCATGCGATTCGCCACAAGATCCTTATGTTTTAGTTAGTCCAGCAGATTGTCGTATGATGGCTTTCCCAACTATAACAAATGCGACTGAATTATGGATTAAGGGTCAAAGCTTTTCAATTGCTAGATTACTTGATGATGATTTAGCTGCTAAGGATTATGAAGGTGGAAGTTTAGGTATCTTTAGATTAGCTCCACAAGACTATCATCGGTATGTTCATTTAGATTTTTCAATAGATTAACTAGTTATAATAATATTATTAATAACAACATTCATTTTTTTATTAACAGATTTCACTTTCCAGTAGAGGGTGAATTGGGTCCAATAAAGGATATTCCTGGAGCATATTTTACTGTTAATCCAATGGCTATTCGTTCACAGTAAATATCATAATACTTTAGTATTTTGTATTCATACTTATCACTCATTAATTATTAACAATTATAGGCTTGATGTATATGGTGAAAATAAGCGAGCTATATGCTATATTAATTCTCCCCAATTTGGCAAAGTTGCTTATATTTCAATTGGTGCTATGATGGTTGGATCTATTGTATTCACGAGGTATCAAATCTTTTTATTTATTAAATTATAAATTTTATAAATTGCAAATTTATATTAACGATATAATTATTCAGCACACCAAGTTCTTATGTGAGAAGAACTGATGAACATGGATACTTTGCCTTTGGTGGGTAGAACAATTTCTTAGAAAATCGGTAATTTTCAATTATTAATTCTTTACTGTAATATTTTTTAGGTGGAAGCACTGTTATACTTTTATTCCAAAAGGGAAAGATGATTTGGGATGAAGATTTGTTAGCAAATTCAGGATCCTGTTTGGAAACTTTGGTAAATATTTAATATCAAATTATTTTTTTTTAAAAAAAAAAAAAATTTTTATTAAACTTATCTAAAAAATTATAGGTTCGTATGGGTATGCATGTTGGAAAGGCACTTCGATATTAATTAATTACATTATTTATTTTTCTATTTATTTATATCTGTTTTTATATGTATATATATGTAAAATGTACCTTATTTTCAAATTGTATTGTACATTTGCTATTTTTCATATATTTAATAAAAGTTGGAAGATTTCAGTCATTGTATAAATTTGATATACCGATTTTTTTCATTGAACCGGAGTGTTCGTTATATTCTGCATTACATTTTATTTTTGATAATATAACGAATAAGTGATTTATCCGGTACCACGTGATTTACAATGCGATTTATAATCTGTTCCAGGACAACTCAAGAGAGTAATTTTTATGCAAACATGGCATAGTGCTTTTATCTTTATTAAATTTATTAAGAACATTTACAATTAAACGAAAAATAATAAAAGAAATAATAAAAAATAAACTAACTAAAAATAAAACTATATACAGTCTAACCTCGATATACCGATATTCGATATACCGATATACTATTAAAAACTTGATATAACGATAAAATTTTATTTTCCCACTATATGTGAGGACATATAAATATCGGTATAACTTTGATATAACGATATTTTCTAAAAATTTCATATATGTCCCGACATATCGTTATATAAAGGTTTGACTGTAATCTCTAAAAAGTTGTTAAAGTAAATATCAAAAATCCAAAGATAATTATTAGTACATTAACACACTTCCTAGATCATCCTCCATGATATATTTCAAATATAGTAGATGCAATTATGCTAAACTGTGCACCCATTATTAAAATCGATACCCAATCTTGCAATAATTGCTGTTATCTAATAGTACCATTAGATGGCTCACAAAACCCAAATAGTGATTAAATTAATTTAATCCTTGTGTGATCAAGTTCCTTATCCAATTTTCATCAGCATCATGTGACAGCTAAGTTTGGGTCATTTTTAACCACTTCGATCTTAAGAACATATTGTTCTATTTTATTATGAATCCATTCAGTATTTGCATTCCATTCTTTATATATGTCACCTTTTGTCATAACATAGTTCTGTAAATGAAAATTATCAAAAAACTTATCTATATTTGAAACAACGTCCTTCCAAATGGCCTTCTAACTTACTAAGACTGTTTACCTACATAATATAAATATATTCAGTATATAATAATAGATACAATACTAATATGTAACTTATATAGTTATATTTATCTTAGTATCATGTTTTCTTGCAGTTGTTATCTGGTATAAGTGATGACATCCATTATGATAAGGCGCAATACACAGGTCAAATGAAGAACAATCAGATTTTGGCAATTTTTAATAAAGTGTACCAATATTAGTATAAACATGCCTATCATAAAATATCTATAGATGATATTAATATATGTATGTCAATACATGTATAAACATACCGATATATTGAACAATCTGATTTTCAATTCGGTATACCTAAAGTTGCCTGCCAAAACTCTACAGGCTATTGTCGAAATGTTAAAACTAAAACCTGTTGAAATGCTGAAATGCCAAAATAGTTTTGACATATCAAAATTGTCGAAACCTAAAAATATTACGTTTCACGTAATAACTCGGAATTCAATGATCGAAGAAAGATGCACCATAGCTCGTTGGAATTGTCTCATAATGATGAGTTGAATGGTGGTTAGATCATCTTTTTACGATCACTAAATGCCGAGATATTGAGCGAAATGTCAAAAATTGGCATTTTGTATTTTGCGATACTGCGCCGTTTGCCATTTTGCCTATACATGCCACCTAAATTATTTTGGGCTGCCGTAATTATAAGTAAAATCCCAAATTCAATTATGACATCCCAAATTATTTTGGCACTTTACATAGTAAATTATATATAAACTGAATGAATTACAGCATCCCAAATTATAATTATGGCATCCCAAAATAATTTGGGCAGCATGTATAAATTTTTGCCTATTATCTTGGCATCCAGTAATCGTAAAAAAATGATTTAAGGGTTGGTCACCCTATCTCAGTGGTTAGTCACTGAGACCCTCATTAAGCCTGAGTATAGTGAGATCACAGATTCGATTTCCATGATCACAGAAATAAAAAGAATTTTACTGCAGACACTACAACTAATAGCGTGAAGGTACAGGGATTGGTGTAGTTGGACTGCATTATGGTGAATTAGTGTATACAATTAGGCTGCATATTTCAATTAAGGGTCATGGTGTCTTTCCAACGTTCCCTATGAGACCATTGGCATGTGCGCAGTCCTGTCCTTGAGGTCACTACTATACCTTGAGGGGACTTCCTGTTCAGGTGGTCACTCCACGATACTGCTTGGGGTCAGTAATGGCTAGATGATCGTCCTAGATGGTAAAACTGAAGGTGTAATATCTTAGTGGTAGTTTGACCTTTTATTAGATTTTAAACTAACCAAGGTGTTGTAATAACCGAAAATACAATAAAATAGAATAAGGATAAATAATTAGCCGATGGATAAATAATTAACCGATAGGTAAATAATTAGCCTATAAAATTATATTTATAGTTTAGTTTAGTATCACGAGATAGTCATATGATAATAGATCTTTTTATTTTCTTAAATTTTTATTAGAAAAAGATAGTAAATATTAGAAATATTTTTCTTAAAATGTATAAATACAAGTTGATTTCGTTAGAAATTCTGCAGTTCGATTTTTAGAAAATAAAAATTTTAGTTCACCTTTAATAAAAACTAACACACTCTTTAGCCTTTTCTTATGAGCAAAAGTGCATATTTAATATGAAAATTATTAAATTTGGGGAAATTATCGCAATTTAAAATTTGGGTAAGAGATAATGTTTTGTAATTAATTATTTTTTTTTTTACTTTAAACCAAGCAGAGATATTATTCGAACTCAACACATCAGTGGCAACTAGGGATCCGCAATTTGATTTGTTATTTGATATTTGATTTGAATTTGACAAATCAAATTCAAATTCAAATTTATATTTATTTGATTTAATCAAATTCAAATAATAGATTTATTTGATTTGATTTGACTTATCAAATATTTCAAATATTTGATTTGATTTGATTGATTTGAGTTTAAAAAAGTATAAGTAAGTATTATATTAAATATTTTAATCTTTTAATTTTATAATATACATTTAATTAATTGAATTTTTTTCTTATCGAATATAGTTATTAGTTTGGTATTTATGCTTGCAGCGTACCAACTGGCTTAACTTGGTTACACATATAATGATATCACATCAATAAATATAAATAAATAAAGATTATCATTTTTTTTAATTATTGTATCGAAAAAAATCTTTACTTTATAAACTTTAAATATACTTGTGAAAGCAACTTGCATTATAATTTTAAATATGTCGTTAGAAATGGTAATTTTTTAAATTTATATTTATATTATTTTAAAGTAAACTATATTAATTAAATATAAATTTTGTTATTATAATTTATAGCGTACAGATACAGAAATTTCTGATAAATCTAAATCTAATATTTGGAAGTATTTCACGAAAGAAAGAGGGCAAGATAATAAAATTACTGCAAAATGCAATTATTGTAATGCCAAATATGCTGTTGTTAAAGGCGCAACAACAAATCTTTGGACACATATTAAAAAAATACATGTGTCTCTTTTTGATTTATCAACTACTCAACGTACATTAGAACAATATGGTTTATCAGTAAATAGTAATAGTGAAATTTTTACAGGGGTAATTAATTAATAATTATATAACAAATAACTGATAATTATATTTAGATATTTAGTAAAAATAATCAAATATCACTTTTTTTTAATATAGGCTAGTACGGAAGAAAATCTACGAAAATGGTTAACAAATTGGATTATTCTTGAAGATCTTCCATTTACAATTGTCGAGGGATGGCTTAAATGGATTCTTAAAAAAGTTACTGGTGGATTTCATCTTGTATCTGCAGATACAATTAGACGTGATATTATACAATATCATATAGACATATGAACAACTATTCAAAAAATTTTAAAGGAAACTTCAGGAAAATTATCATTATCATTAGATATTTGGACTTCAACGGTTGTCAAATCATATATGGAAATAACTGTACATTTTATCGATAATTCTTGGCACCTTCAACAAATAACTCTTGATTTTATCGAATTAGAAGGTTCTCATACTGGAAAAAATATTGCAGAAGAGCTAATTATGGTATTAAATTTATATGATATTTCAAAAAAAGGTAAAGTAATTACGTTAATAACTATTAAATTACTAAATTATTTATTTATTTTATTGTAACTAAAATAATGTATTTTTTGTAGATTAATAGCATTACTACCGATAATGCTTCCAATAACGATACTATGTTTAGTTATCTTGAATTGTGGGCAAAAGATAACGATATTGATTTTTCTGGAAATAATCAGCAATGTCGATGTTTTGCACATGTTGTAAATCTTGCAGTTCAAGCTGCATTAAAGGAACTAAAACCAGAAATTGATAAAATTCGAAATCTTATTGTCAAATCCCGTTCATTATCACAACGCCGCAAAAAGTTTTCAGAAATTTCTAAGCTTAATGGAGTTGATGATCTATTGCCTATTCTTGATGTTCCAACACGTTGGAATTCAACATATGATATGGTTAAGCGAGCTCTAGATTTAAAAGTGGTATGTATTATAATATTTTTAAATTTATTTATTACAAAGTAAAATAGATATAATATTTACAACACCTTTTTACAATTAGGTTTTTGATAAAATCATATTAGCTAACGAATTTTCAGACTTAAACAGTATTAAATTAAGTCAATCTGATTGGACATCTCTGGAAAATATTGCAGCATTTTTACGGTGTTTTGCCAAACTTTCAACTGAAATGTGTGCGTCAACATATCCTACAATTAGTGCAGTATATCCAATGTATAATCTTCTTATGGGTCATGCTGAAAAAAAAATGAATAAAGACAAAACTCCAAATAATATAGCTTTAGCAGCAAATGCGGCATGGAATAAACTTTATGAGTATTACAATAAAGCATCTGAGGAAACACATTATATTGCTACAATCCTTGATCCTCGCTGGAAAATCAAATATTTTAAGGACTGGGAAGATGAGGAAAATGGAGACGAAAATATGTATTATAAAAATGCCAAAAAAATGTAAGTTAAATTGTTTAAATTTTCAAAAAAAAAACTACACGAAAAATTTTTAATTTATTTATTATTTTATTTTAAATCTAGATTTACACGTAAATTTGATGAATATCGTTCCATTTATTATCCAGTTTCAGGAATGTTAAATAATAGTTCAGGTGAGAATGAGGACAGCGAAGATTCTTTATTTCCAGTTCCTAAACGGTTTCGTAATAATAACGGGCATGATGAGCTCAATAGTTACTTTAATAGTACTCCAGAACCAGGAACAATTAATGTACTAGAATGGTGGAAAAGTCATAAAAGTAATTATCCTACATTAGTGAAAATGGCACGAAATTATTTGGCTATACCAGCAACTAGTGCGCCAGTAGAACGATTATTTAGTGAAAGTGGTAATCTAATAACTCCAGAACGAAATAGACTCAGAAGTGACATAATTCACGCAATTATGTGTCTTAAAAGTTGGTTAACTATTCCTAATATTACAAATCAGTAAAATCTATGTAATTTGATATAAATAAATAAAAATTTACATTTTGCAATATTAAAAAACACGTTTAACAATCTTATTTTATTTAATTTTTCGGGTTATGCTAAAAAAAAATTTGTATTAATAAAAATCGTCTGAAATTCATGCCATAATACATCAATTTAAAACAAAAATCAAAATAAATTAAACTAATAAAAAAAAGATTAACATAATAAAAAAATAAATGAAATACAATATTTCGTTCAAGATCCAGGTCGTCTTTCGTCTGTTCGTCCAGGATTGCTAAAAAAGAGAAGGGAAACGTTAATTACGTTCCCAGAAGTATAAAGATCAATAAAAAGAACGAAATAACTTACCACATTTCGTTCGTTTAAGATCCAGGTCGTCTACTCGTCTGTTCGTTCAGAGTTGCTAAAAAGAGAAGGGAGATGTGTATAAGAGACAGGAAACGAACTTACCTAGTCGTTCTTTTATTCTTTTAAACCCTGGTCTTTCGTCCGTTCCAGGATTGCTAAAAAAGAGAAGGGAAACGTTAATTACGTTCCCTGAAAGTATAAAAATCAAAAATTTTATAAAAAAAGAATGAAATAATTTACCGCACTTCATTCAAGATCCCAGTCATTTGGCTTCATCCGTTCGTCCAAGTCTGTTCTTGAAAAAAAGAAAGAAAAAAAGAAATTAAGAAAAAGAGAAAAAATGTAAAAAAAAGTTAAAGAAAAAAAAAAACAAAATGACTCACCAGTTACCACATTTCGTCCAAGATCCAGTTGTTCGGCCCTGTAAAGAAATCAATCCGTTTTTTATATTCCATCTCTTTTACGTAAAAGGTCCATATTTCCGGAATTAATAATAACCTTATATCACGGAATTCGAATTATTTACATTTTTCGTAAGAAACTTGACGAAGTTATTAAAAGATTTTTTCTTACCTTAAATCATAGGTAAGTGATTTATCGTGAAAGACCTAATTTTACGGAGTTTTTACAGAAATAACGGATAAAGTTCTTTATAGGGCGGCTTTGTCTGTTCATCTGGGTTCGCTAAAGTAAAAGAAAAAGGAAGCGTTAATGAATTTCCCTGAAGTAAAAAAAAAACAACGAAAAAAAAAGAAGAACGAATTACCTTGCCATTTGTTCGAGGGCTGTCACTGGTAAAAAAATGATTTATCCTACACATATCTTACACATATTGGGTACTTAAAATGTAGAAAATCATACACAAATAATACACATATCATACACATATCGGGTACTAATATATATATCATACATATATCAGGTACCTGATAGGTATACTATATATATAAGTACCCGATATGTGTATGATATGTGTATTATTTGTGTATGATTTTCTACATTTTGAGTACCCGATATATGTAAGATATGTGTAGGATATGTGTAGGATAGACCATTTTTTTACCAGTGTGTTCATTTGGAATTTGGCAAGCTGGATGCTTTATCTGATTAAATTCAAGAAATTTCACCATATATTCAATAACAACTGCTCTATTCGATTAATTTAATGAAGTGTATTTAACGTTAATAGTCATTTAGAAAAAACTTTTTAATTTTTAAAAAAGGAAAGATACGGTAGCAGATCATACTAAAAAAAGGTACGCAACATCAAATCAAATTCGAATTTAAACGTATCAAATTCGATCAAATTCAAATTTAAATTAAACCAATCAAATCAAATCAAATATCTGATTCGAAAAATCAAATCAAATACAAATTGACTATATATTTGATTTGATTTGATTTTGCGGAACCCTAGTGAAAACAACTGAACCTTAATTGCAGAACTGGAAGGACTAAAGGACCTAAAATTAATGAAATAGGAATAGTAAGAAATAAAGCGTAAGAATGTAAGTTAAAAATAAAAATAAAATAAAAATACCTTGAGACAGAAAGAACTGAGGAAATGAGATTCAATAAATGTATATGACGTGATCATGTGGCCAATCTGGCCAATCAAAAATATTAAATCTGTCTCGTGATTTAAGATCCCAGATGATGTTTAAGTAATTTCCAAAATTTAATAATTTTTTTTTTATAAAAAAGTATAACATGCATTTTATTATGCCATGTACTGTATAGTTAGATACTACAGTCAACTCCCTTTATAGTCACTTCCGTTATAGTCACATTCTACTATATAGTCACACCAGTTGAATGTTCAAAATACTTTATTATTAAAATCTATCATATATAGTCACAATCTATCTATAGTCACTATCACATCTATCCTCAAAAATCTTATATTAAAAAGAACTGTTTATAATCACAGTTATATAAAGAATATATTAAATAACTTGGCATCTAATAATAGTACAAAGATGTAACATAGCTTGTTAGAATAGTCTCAATGAGAAGAATCAAATGGTGGTAGTTTTATCCTTTTATGATCACTGGCTGATGAGTTATTCAACAAAATGTTAAGCATCGGCATTATTATATTTCTTGATTTACGTTTACTGCGCCATTTAACATTTTGCTAAATTTCTCAGTACCTAGTGATTGTAAAAAGACAATTAATAGCTCGTTGGAATCGCCTCATCAAGACGAATCGAATGGTGGTAAGCTCATCTCTCTGTGATCAATATTGTCGGAGTTACTACTTAAAAACCATTTAATATTTTTTAATTTCAGAAATTGATCTAGTGATTAGATTTCGATGTATTTTATACCCATTAGATTTGTCGCATCAAGACGAATTGAATGGTAGTAAGATCGTCTCTCTAAGATCAATATTGGCAGAGTTATTACGCACTGGTAAAAAAATGATTTATCCTACACATATCTTACACATATTGGGTATTTAAAATGTAGAAAATCATACACAAATAATACACATATCATACACATATCGGGTACTAATATATATATCATACATATATCAGGTACCTGATAGGTATACTATATATATAAGTACCCGATATGTGTATGATATGTGTATTATTTATGTATGATTTTCTACATTTTGAGTACCCGATATATGTAAGATATGTGTAGGATATGTGTAGGATAGACCATTTTTTTACCAGTGTACACAAAAACTATTAATATTTTTTTAATTTCGGAAATTAATCTAGTGATTGGATTTTGATATATTTTATACCATTAGAACCGTCTCATCGAAACAAATCGAATGGCGGTAAGATTATCTCTCTACGATTAATATTGACGGAGTTATGATACAATAAAGTTTTAAGTATAATTTTGACCAAAATTATGTTAATTTTTGGCCGGAATTATGATATTCTAATATAAGAAATTTTTTATAGTCACATCTATATCTATAAAAAAAAGTATTGTGCGACTGTGATGTTAAGACTAAAAGGTGAATTTAAATTGGATCGTTCAGCATCAGGTGTCTGCTCCCTGTGCAGATTGTTATACAGGATTCAGGGTGGCGCATCATTTGACATTGATTAGCTTAATTGGGCAGCTCTAGGACCCCGAAAAATACATATGGAGGTCATAAATGATCAGCAAGATTTTGGCCTAAAATAAGCAATTTTTCAGGGCCAGAATTATGATAATGCTGGCCAGTATCAAACCGGACAATAAAATTTAAGCCGGCACTATCTAAAAAAGGCAAGATTTTCATGAAAATTTTGGTTCTTTTTAAGCAAACTCAAATGTGACCTTTTTATGTATTTTTCAGGATCCTGCAGCTCTAATCCCAATACAATTTTGAATTAGGCTGCATAAATGATTGGCACAAAAACAAATTATAGCAACTAATCCAATTTGTAATTGTAATATAAAATATAAAAAATTTATTAAGCTATAAAAATAATTTAATCGTAACAATGAAATTCTTCACATGAGAAATCATCATTGTAATCATCATTGTTTTCTTTAAAAAAAAATTTGTTTTTGGATTTTTCCATATGATGATTTTTTTTTTAAAAAAATATTTTTCAGTTTCTGAATTTTCCCACACGACAAAAAAAAATCCCTTTCTTTTAAAAAAAAATACACCTTTTCTTTTTACATTTAATTTTTAATTTCTAATTCCTGCACAGCTCTCAAAGTAGAATTTTACCCAGGGAATTGAACATTTCTAATAACAGCAATTACAGGTATTAATAACTATGCAAAAAACCAAAAAAAAAAACCAAAAAAATAAAGTCTTTTTCTTTTTAGGTTTCAGTAGTTTTCTTGGTTTGTCTTCAAATGCGTGGAAATTTGGTAAGGAAGGATTTAGTAATACATTTCTTTTAATCAAACATTTCTAACAGTTTGATTTTTTATTTTTTTAGATGAGGAATAATTTGTACACGAACAGAATTGTGGTGAGTATTTTTTCTTTGAAAAATTTTTTAACAAAACATTTACTAACATTATGTTTCTTCCTTTTTTATATGGTTTGTTCGTGATTCTGGACGTATGAAATTTTAGTGGGTTTTTTTAAAATGCTTCTTTTAACATAATGTTAGTTAACAAAATGTTTACTAATATTTATTTTTGCATTCTGTAGGGTGGCTCTTTGGATCTTTCCAGACATGGAATTTGTAAGTGTTTTTCATTAATTTTTTATTTCTTAATGAAATTAAACATTAACTATTTCGTGTTCTATATTTTGTAGTTTAGACAGTACTGCAACATCTTGGACAGATGTAAATTTTGGTAAATAAAATTTTCCTAACATTATTTCTTTAACAAAACATTATTGATGTTTCATTCTTTTATTTTTTTTTAGTAGATGATCAATTTTTGAGAACTTTGGGTAAGTTCTGAAAATGAATTTTAAACTTAAAAAAAATGTCACTAATTTAACTTTTTTTTTTTGTAGGGAATCACCCTTTTCTCTTTTTTAGGTTTTGGTGATACCTTTCAGAGTGAAGGTTAGTTTGAATTATATTTTAAAAAATTCTTTTTCGTAATTACTAATCATTTTTTCTTTTCTTTTTTTAAAGTTTGGTACCTTTTTTAGGTCCAATGATTCTTTGAATGTTTTTTTAGATTTTCCCAGCTTCCTAATGAACCACTATAACTATTATAATAACTATTATAATAAAAAAATGTATTGCATATTATTTATATTTTATTATTATTTTATTTTGTCAATGTAATGTAAAATCACTTGCCATACACAGCCTATGGATTCCCTATTTACCACAAAATTCCAAATTAATGCTAATAACCATTCTAGACTTTATATAACAGTTTAGTAGAAAGGTATCTGATTTTCATAATTTTAATTAGCCAGACCCGCATGAAATGCAGGCATCCTGCTAGTCTCTTTATAATCACCAAATATGGATTGTCCCAAATGTGTGATTATAAAGAGAGTTGACTGTATATAACATCATAATTCAATATCTATATTATCCAGATTATTGGTTTTAAAACGTTAAAATTAACGTTTTTCAATTAAAAGTAAAAAAAAACATTTTTTTTAATGAAAAAAACATTGAAATTGACGTAAAATTAATAAAAAAAATATTTTTTTTAATTAAAAATATCGAAATTGATATTTTTTTAATTAAATCAATAAAAAAATGTTTTTTTTTCAATTAAAAATATCAAAATTGACATTTGTTTAATTAAAATCAATAAAAAAAATGTTTTTTAATTATAATTAAAATTAATAAAAAAAATTGTTTTTTATTTTAATTAAAAATGTTAAAATTAATGTTTTTTTAATTAAATCAATAAAAAAAACATTTTTTTTAATTAAAAATGTCAAAATTGACATTTTTTTTTAATTAAAATCAATAAAAAAAGTCAAAATTGATTTTTTTTTAATTAAATCAATAAATAAAAATGTTTTTTAATTAAAGAATTTTTTTTAATTAAAATTGTCAAAAATTAACATTTTTTTGAAAAAAAATTGGTTTTTTAATTTAAAAATGTTTACTTGACATTTTTAATTAAGATAAATAAAAAAAGTGATTTTTTTAATTAAAAACATTGGACTTTGGCATTTTTAATTAAAAGAATTTAAAAACAATTGTTTTTTTTAAATTTTTAAAAATATAAGTTCAACATTTTTAATAAAAATAAATACAACTTTTTGATTTAAATATGTCAAACTTGACATTTTTTAATTAAAATAAGTAAAAAAAATAATGTTTTTTAATTTAAAACATTGAATTTTACGTTTTTTTATAAAAAAAATTAGAATTTATTTCAGGCCAAATGGGTCAGGTAACCCAACCTATTTGGAACATTACTTACAGCTAGTATTAAAATAAAATAAATGAACTCTCATTATATCAAAAGTTTGTTATTACTTTTATTATTAAAAAAAGAATAATAGTAAAAAAAAAAATAATAATAAAATGCGTTGTCATGATTATCAAAAAAAAAAATCTAATGATCAACAAAATTAAATCTTACTACAAAACTTTATAATTTGATGGCTAAATTTAACGTAACATGAAAGTGCCACAGAAAACTCTAAATTGCAATTTTGCCTCTCAGATGCTTGTACTGTACTGTATTGAACTGAATTGAATTGTATTGTACTGTTCTAATACTATACTAATATTATAATACTTTTGGAAAAAAATTGATGATGATCATGCCTATATTTTGATAAAGACAACGTAACTTTAGCTGATCAATTTTTTAGGTCAAAAATAAGGATCAGCAAAATTATATTCCAAAACCCATTGATCAACAAAATTATTTTCTAAACGTGTTAATCATTTTTCAGTAAACATTATAATGGTGTCAAATTAGGCGTATAAAGGAAAAGAGAACTCTTTCTTACAAATTGTTAAAATCGCTTAAAATCCGCAGTAAATATTAAACAATTTATAGAAATGTCTGGAAACGCTAAACGAGGTGGTAGAGGTAGTAGACAAACATGTAGCTCAAGCTGTAATTTCCAAGCAGGTGGAAGTAGGCCAACTAGTCCTGAAAATCAGTTTACCTTTAGTGCACCAAAGGAAACTGCTACTCATCACGAGAGTATTTGGAAAACCTACCAGAAAAAGCTGCAACCAACTTCTGATAAAAAGATGACAAAAGCTATGGAAGCAGAACGTGCCATGGACATGGAAAAAAGTATTGTTCAGGACACTTATGGACTACACTCCAAATCTTCTTCTGGTAACAACAAAGGGAACACTCACGAAAAATCCAAGGCGGTCGTGAAAGAAATGTCACGTGACCCTCCCTTATTTCCGCAAAATATTGTTAACAACGTGAATGGAACCAATAATGTTCCAACTCTTAACAAAGAAATTACTTCAACTCCTTATAAGGATCAACAACAATCTGTTGAGTTGCCTAATCAGGATAAGAACAATCTGCAAGCCGATCATAAGTCTCAGCCCATGGATGTCGATCCTAGTAACTCTCACAAAGATTCATCGATCATTACGATTGAAAAGGTTAAAGAGCATATTGCAATCGTCCCTTATGGTGAACTTCTTGGGGGTAAAACTACAAAACTTACTAAAATTAAAAATGCTTTGAAGACGTATAATATTCAGTACAATATGCAATTACCTATCATCCAACTTGGTAAACAAGGGGCAAAAGTGTCCTTTTTGAATAAAGAAAAATATGATTAATTTCTCAAGATGGAAATTGTCATTCAGGAACAAAAAGAAGGTGATTCAGGAGAGGTTTTTAATGTCAAGCTTCAGCCTATTCCATCAAAACCTGTTAAGGTGGTTAATACAGATGAAAAAAATAATGATAATTTGCAAAATTCTAATGGTCGTACAATCCAAGTTATTGATATTTCTGCATATAAACAGGTTCGCGAAATTAGAGAATCATTTGAAGATCTTGGCAAAATTGAGAAAATTTATACAAGAGGCGCTGGTCTTTACCAAGTCGCGTTCATTACATATAAGGATGCTAATTCTATTAGTTATTTCAACGAGCAATGGAGTTATCATATTAATAAAGACATAGTTAGAGTCTTACCCTTGTTGTTGAGCAAGGAGGAACGTGAGAAAAGAAAACAATTCTCACTAAGATTATCGGGTTTACATTATCAAACTAGTGGTTATAATCTTAAAGAAGTCATGACACAATGTAAAGGGAAAACTTGTTTTATCCCTGCCGTAATGATTAGAGGAAAATATCAAAGATGTCGCTATGCTTACATTCATTTTTCTTCACGAGAGGATTTGATGGCAGCTAGACAAATGAATATTGAATTCAAAAAAGGCAATGCAGGTGCTAGAAAATTATATTGGAGTAAAGAGGAAAATCGCATTTGTAATATCTGCGGACTGCGGTAATCCTATACATATGGCTAAAGACTGTACTAACAAAGATATTAACAAGTCTCAATCAAAAAGATTTGTTAGTGGTGCTGATAATTGAAAAAACTTGAAAAAATCATATGCGGAGGCGGCTAAATCAAAACTAAAACCCAGAAATAATGCTAAATTTAACAATAATAATATTCCCTCTGGATCACGTGATAAAGGAAGAGCTTGAAGCAATCATGATAATGCTGATGATGATGGTGAAGATTTCAATAACCATCCGATGTTTTTAAAATTCAAGGAACAAATTATTAACACCATAAGAAAGGTGGAAGATAAATTGTGTAAAATGGAATCACTCATTAACGACACTGGCAAGCAAATTAGTGAAGTAGTTACAGCACAACAAGCACTTAAATGCGATAAAGCACATCCAATCCCAAGTAGTAAGAAAAAGAAAAATCAACAATCCAATGCTGGTGCAGAAGTTAAAGCAGCGAAAAAACGCTGTAAAAGTGACTCTGAATCAAGTGAAGACGAAGATGAACTAGCAAATAAGTCCGCTCTTCAATCACAACAATTCCAAAAATCTGATCAAAATATTCAAAATATTGTGGATCAACAGAAAAAAATTCAACAAAATCACCAGGAAACTAAATCCTTACTTTCATCACTTTACAACATGTTATCTGGCGGCCCTTCAGCTTCATCATTATTGGGGGATAATGATGAAGTTTTTGATGATTCTGTCATATAATTATTTTTAATGATGAACAATTATAATAATTTTCTCCCTTCTAATTCTCAACAACAACAAAACAATTTCCCCCAAATAGAAAATATCAACCCAATTATTACAAAAAATTCCTTAAAAAATTCTTCAATAACGAAAATAGCTACTACGAATATTCGTACCCTTAGTAAAGACAAATTAATTTTCATGTTAGACGCTATGAAAAACAATGATATTGACATATATGGATTAGCTGAGACTAATCTTTCATATAGACAATCAAAAATTTGGCAACACCAATTTGGTTTCCATGGTTATTTTGATTATTCACAACAAGGGGGTAAAGGTCAAGGCGTAGGAATTATCGTTAGCGATAAATACGATATATTTGTTCATAAAGCGGTTGGTCATAAAGGCCGTGTTATATACTTAGACTTAAATTTTAGTCAAAAGAAAAACGTTAGGTTAATTCAGGTGTACATTAATGCTAACAAAAAAGAAAGAACACGAATTGAGGAACTATATCAATATATCAAAAATATTATCGATGACGCGAAAAATAAAAATATGGAAATAATCATTATGGGTGATTTTAATATTAATTATAGAAAATACTTGTTGGCATTCATTTCTAATAGATGGTATTTCAAATTGTTCAAAATGCTAGAAAACAGACATCTCTTAAATACAATTCCAATATTTAACGAAGATGACAAAAACATATATACTTATATTCCACCTAATGATTCTAATGAAAAATCAAGAATAGATTATATTTGGGCTTCATTACCAATACTTGGCCAAAGTTTGAATAGTACTGTAATAGAAAATGATCATTTTACAACGAATCATAATACTGTCACTTTATCGCTTGATACACAATTGTTTATAGGAAGAACGTTACCTAAGATTAACAAAAGTAAAAAGAAAATAACTTGTACTGTATTTTTATATGATGAAATGGATCAAGAAGATGATGAATTCACATGGGATAATTTCCGTACTGGTTTGGATCATGAAATTGAAAGACTAAAATTAAAGGATCGAGCGATCACAAAAAGAAAACATGTTGATCATGTGTGGAATTCTCTTAGACAACTTATAATGAAATCTGCTAACGAAAATATTAGAAACAAAAAGATTATTAAACAGAAAATCAAATGTGTTCCTGAGAAAAAGTTGTCAGTTTACTTTGATTTAAGATATATTATTAATCGTATTCAAGAAATCCGCTCATGTATCACAGGATTAAGAAACTATCCAAATCAGGAAATGATCGGCAAATGGATTAATTATCAAAACACGATAATTAAACTAAAAGACAAGTATGAGTTAGTTACTTCTGATACTAGTTTTAATTTCTTAAATAATGATCAGTTCCATAGTTATCTTGACGAACTTAATGAAATTAGAAAACAATTGAGAATTGTTTTTAAACTTGAACTTAATATTATGGAACAAGAACAAATTATCTCTAACATCAAGAAGCGATGTGATAATTATAAAGAAGATCAAGGAAGAATGATTCAATCTATTACAAAAAAAGAAATGGTTTCCATTTCAATTGAAAAAATTTATAAGAAAGATTATAATGGTAATGAAGTTTTAATTACAGATGAGAATCAAGTGATGGAAGAAACAAATCATCATTTTCAAAACGTAGCAGGTTCTGTTAATAGAAAGAAACCAATACAAGGCAGATGGAAAGAACAATATAAACCACAGCCTCATATTAATGAAAATATATATTCTAGCATTATGGACGCTCCATCTTATGATGAATGGTTAGATATTATTCGACAACTATCTAATGGAAAAGTGACAGGACCTTCTGGCATGTCGAATGAAATGTTGAAACACCTAAGTGATAATTGTAATCAAATCTTATATTCTTTGATTTGTAAGATTATAGAATTAGGATATTTACCAAAACAATGGAAAGAAGCGACGGTCTTTCCTATTGCTAAACCTAAACCCTTTAATTGTGAATTATCAAACTCTCGCCCTATTACTCTTTTAGAAACTACTAGAAAAGCACTTATTTCCTTGCTAAATCGTCATTTAGCAATCATTTTAAAAGATAATAATGTATTAAAGGCAAACCAATTCGCTGGTCTGCCTAAACAATCAACATTTGAACCGATAAGGATTATGAACGAAGTCATTCAAAATTCAATTGATAATAATAATGAATTATGGATACTCTCTCAGAATATGGGAAAAGCTTATGATCGTGTGAACATTTTTCAACTTAAAAAAGTGATGGATAGAATTAAAATTCCTGATGATTTTTCGTCTCTCATTTTAGAACTTTTTAAAGATAGAAAGAATCAAGTAATTACTGCATATGGAAAAACTGCACCTTATGATGTTCTTACAGGAATAGATCAAGGAGAAGTAATTTCACTGTTGTTATGGTGTATTTATTATGATCCCCTTTTAGCAGAAATTGACAAACAACAATTGGGATATAATATTTCTTGTATATCAAAAACAGTTGTTCAAGAAGAAGGTGTACTTAATCAACAAAATGTTTCCATTATGGCGTATATGGATGATACTCAATGGATTACTGTCTGCCATCCATTGATAGAAAAACTTCCTTATAATCGTGTTCCGCATACATGAAAAAATAATTATATCCTTAATATGCTTTTATTATGCTATGATAATAATATTTCGTTAGAAAATTTAGATAATAATACTTTTCCATCAATTAAAGGAGGTAAAATTCCTTTAGAAGACGTAGTAGATAATGCATAATATTCTAAACATAGGAAGAGACTTCGTGAAAAGAATATTTTATTTTTAGATCAAATTATTTCAGGCGACAAATCTCATTTATTACTATGGAAAGAAATACTTATTAAGGCTTATGTTCCGATTTCTTCACAACGGAAAGAAGCTAAATGGTACACAGATATTAGAAATTTTATTACTACAGATAGTATTCATTTGAATCGTAGTATATCACATTTATTTGGTGCTCGTGTTGATAATGCGGAAGAGGCTCGATCATATGATATCATTAAAAAAAATAGATCTTTAATAGCATTTTATAATTTACAATTCAACTCTGTAGTTATTGAAAAAATTCAAGGAATAGATGAAACACAACGACCTGTTATTAAACATTTTCATATTGATATGTCTCAATGTACTGATACACATACTTATATATATCAATATATGGAATATGGATGCGTTGCTAATGCAGCATTATCAACACGCTCACCTTGTACTTTTTCTGCTGATTGGGAATATTTAGTACCATTGTTGACTGAATCTCAATTTACATCTATTCAATCTAAAAATTTAATTGAATTTAATATTTTTGATATTTTTGATTTTGCAAAAAAGAAATATGATATTATACAAAGAGCGTTAACGCAAAATCACGTGATTTCTTCACAATTACAAGATAATATAATTTTGGAATTTTTAGATTCTTCTACTTCAAGAAATGACTTATTAACTATACAACGAACATTAGCTCCTTTTGATAATAATAATTATTATATTTTTGAATTTTACACTGATGGTTCTTTAATAGAATTAGGTACAAAACAATGTAGTATTAGTTGTGCTTTCGCTCAGATTAGTGATTTGTTTGATATACCTCATGTCAAATTTTATTCTACTATTGATAAATGGCCTTCTGCGTATAGAGGAGAATTATTAACTGTTCTTTTAGCACTAAGTGTCGTTCCAAAAATAGTAAAGTTAGAATTAACACAGATTCGCTTAACGTGATTACTCAATTTGAAAAATTAAAGAAATCAAGATTTTCTCATACCTCACGTGAATACTTCAAGGCTAATAATAATTTCTTATGGGCTATTTTATGTAGAATTATATTAACATTGAACTTACATGTGGAAATGTTTAAGGTCGTTGCTCATGGTGATGATATGGGTAATAATTATGTAGATAATTTGGTGAAAATTGCGCATACTGATCAGGATCGCTATATAGTTTTTTGACGGGACGCTTGTATGATGAAAGTTCTTCCTTGTTGGAATGGGATTATTATTGAAAATAAGCTGCGCTCATTTTTGAAAAGTATTTGTAACTACAAAGGTTTAGAAAAATTTGTTAATTTGAATAGAAATTCAAAATATCGTCAATTAGAAGTTGATTGGACATCCACATTTAGTTGTTTAAATTGTGATATAAATAACAATGAAACTTCTGTTTCCTCTTCTAAAACGAAAGCTCAAAAAGTTCATTTATTAATTGAAGAAATTCCTACAATTGAACAGATGAAAAAATCATTGCTTGATTTATATGATGGATGGATGTGCCCTATATGTGGATTACAAGACAAAACCTTTAATCACGTATGGACGTGTAGTGGTCATTATGATATCATTAATAATATTAGAGATAATACTATTAATAATCTCTTGACTTGGATATTAGAATATAATGATAATATACAAGATTTCAATGCTCTCATGGCTCTTAATATATGGGATATATCTTATGATCCTAAGGTGTTTACTTTTGTCGATCTTATTAAAGAAATTATACCTATGTCGCTTTCAGAATTGTTGAATTCTTGGACTACAAAGAAAAATGTTGTTGATGCTTTAATTCAAATGAGGCAGTTTATTTTTAATGAGATATTTGAAGAGGTTTGGATTCCAAGGTGTTCGCATCTGAAGGAATTTGAACGTTCTTTGGGTTTGACTAAAAAGAAAAAATTAGAATTCAAAAGCGTTCGTTCATTACCTAATAATAATAATAGTAATAATAATAATATTCAATATGATTCTTTAGATAGTGTTAGGAATTAAATTTATTTTGGCAAAAATATAATAGAATTTTATACTAATCTTACTTCGTAGCGCCATCATAGATTTTAGTAGTTTGATTTATATAATTTTATAAGGTCAATTTTACTATCTTCTGCAGGGCGGACTTCAACTTACCATGTTTCAGCTAGTGTATGGGAGGTAGTAGGTTATTTAAAGAAATGGTTTTTAGGTGTAGTTGGTTATATCTTTAATAGTTTCGTGTTT